ATGTCCGGGCTGTGATGGTAATGTTACGTGTCAACTTGACTGGACCATGAGCTCCCAGACAACTGCAAACATCAATCCAGGAGAATGTTGTTTCCGGAGGAGATGAACCTTTGTATCAGCAGACCAGGGAAGCAGAAAGCCTGCCTTAGGGTGGGGGATCCCCGCCATCAGATGAGGACCCGAACAAAGAGGTGACCCTCCTGCCCCACAGCAGGACACTGGAACTTTCCTGCCTTGGATTTGAACTGAAACGTTCCCTATTCCCGGCCTCGAGCCTGCCAGCCTGCAGACTGGAACTATACCATGACTCTGGGGATGCAGGCCTTCAGACACACACCAGACGAAGCTTGCCAAATGCAGTTCTTGGCATTTGTCAGCCTCTGTAACTGTGTGGGTATTTCTCTTATCTAGATATACAGGTATTAGGGGCCTCCCTGGTCACGCAAGGGGTTGAGCACCACACTGTGAAGCTATCCACAGCCTCTGCAGCAAGAGTTCAATCCCTGGCCAGCCAGCGAGCAACCCACATGGCGAGCAGACCTCTGCTGTCTCCCTGCTGCTCCCCTCAGCAGTGTATTTCAGTCAGTCTGCCTGTTCTGTTCCCCACTCTGTCTCTAGTAAGTCCTCTCACTCCCCCCACATCTCTGGCCTGTGCCCCAGCTCTTGTAAGTGTAAATAAATCTTTAAAAAAATAGATAAACAGCTATCTAGTCATCACATATCTATTATACATGTATGTTACATGCACATGATAATACACCTGTATTTTTATTTATGTAAAAACACATAAAAATACAGCTTCTGTGACTACAATAAAATCTGTTCAAACAACATCTTCTGTAAATCCTTGAGTCCCTTTTATTTTAACAGTTAATTTAATTGCCAGATTCACCAGTTTTTGGTACATAAAATCCCACTGGAACTTATTTTCTTAGTATAATTCTATTATAACTTTTTGACATGCAGTTTGTTAGTCTTGGGGTGACTGGAATGGGTGACCACCTTTAGTTTTTCCTTATGTTTACGGAGGTAGTGTAACGCTGATTTACAGCACAGCATATGTTTTACGATACACAATAGAATGCTACTCAGTTATCTAAGAAAAGATGAAATCTTGCCATCTTTGACAACGTGAATGGAACTGGAGGGGTTACGCTGCATGGCATAAGTCAGAGGGAGAAAGATAAAAAGGTACTGGATGATTTCACTCATGTGGAACATAAAAAACAAAGCGAGTGAAGAGACAAAACAAAGCTTTGAAATTTGACTGCAGAACTGAAGCTACCAGAAAGCAGGGTGGAGGAAGGAGGAGATCTAATGGACAAAGGTGACCCATCTTCACAGTGGGCTCTGAATCCTCTGTGGAACAGCCGACAAGAACTCTTTACAAAGAAAAATACCAAATCCATTGTAAGTAGTATGTCAAAGATTAATATTTTATATTGCATACTTGTAGGTATAAGGAGGATAATAAAAACATACAATGACGCATTGTTTGTGAAGTAGGAAAAATCATAAAACCCTTTCAATTTGTTTCTAATATATACAGTGTGTGGCATACATCTGTTTTATGAAAATTTCTTTCAGCAGCAATCACGCTATGATGAATGTTTGCTGAACTGTTTACCTATAGGTTTCCATTTATACCAAATTTGTTTAGAGGATTTTTAAAGTCTTTACAAACTAGCTTTAAACTGTAATTCAAATTTCTACTAGTCTTAAGATAAGTAAACCTGTGTACACAAAAGGCCAAGAATTTACTTGTAAGCTCTGACCTCTGTAAGAGGTCTTTTTTTGCTAAAATGTATAAATTCTCCACACACAGAATATAGATAGATAGATAGATAGATAGATAGATAGATAGATAGATAGATAGATAGATAGATATTGCTCTGATAAAATACGTACCCTAGTATCCTTGCCCTGGATTCTTAATGTATTGCAAATATACATATCAAACTCACAATGGAAAGGAGGTGGGTTGATGCTGAAGTTACCGCCCCAAGTGCTGAAGTTATGGCCCCCTGGCGCGTGCAATGGCGCTGACCACTGCTAACCTGCACATGGTACTTTCTGAGCGCAGTGCTTCAAGAGTGTGACCAGAGTTACCTAATTTAGAGCTCCCAGAAGCAGTGAGATGGGCATTAGCATCATCACTACGTCCCACAAGAGCAAACCAAAACACAGCGAAGTCACATTCCCCCAAGCACGGAGCACGCATTTTAAAGAACTGTTCTGTCTTATTTCTTGATATTAAAAACTAGACACTCCCTAAATACCTCAGAGCTGTGCTGGAACAGCGCTCTAGTGAGAATCACCCGGGCGTTTAGAAACGAGACTAGACAACAACGTGGAAAATGCTTATGAGACCCCGCCAGGAGTGTGCAGCGACGCCCGGGCCGGGATGGCCACACGGCAGACGGCACCCACATGCTGGGCCCCCCAGCGCCGGGCGTGGCAGGCGACCCCTCCAGGTTTGTGTCTCCTCACCACGACAGTCACACGACAGTGAAATCATCTCACCGTGCGTTTCTCCAGGAGTGTCCCTGTTGTTTGGTGGCCAGTGGCTGCCGTGTTAACTGACAGACATCCAGAATGTCAGAGTGTGTTTTCACACTGATTGAGATGGGAGAAAAGTCATCCCTGCACCCAGGCAAGGGCTGGGAGGGTGGGGGCTACACTGTGTGGCCCTGCTGAGGCCCAGCAGCTCCCCCAGTCTCTCTCCTCCAGGACAAGCTGAGCTGCGCCCGCCGCTGGCTCCTGCCCCCCCACCCCCATCCTGGACAGGAAGCCTGACCGCCCGCCTCACCGCTCACCATTCCTGCCACCAAGTCCAGAGGCTCATTTCTCCCTCGTTGCTCCCCCATCTTTCCCTGGCACGGGGGCTTCTTGACCATAACCCCTTTTCTAGAACACCGTCAAGGGCGTCATCTGGACAGAGGACGCCCCCTTCACTGGTTCCCCACTATGCCAGGCCCTGCTCGGGCCCCTTAGCAATCACCTCAGCCTGGTCCGGGTCGGTGGCTGGAAACAGAGAGCGAGCGCCCACACTCACCCCAGCCCCCAGCTCCTGCTGGACGTGTCCAGCCAGAGCGTGCTGGCCGTGCCTCTCCCTGAAAGGCGTTGCTCACCCTCCCCACGGCCTACCCCGCCTCGGACTCGGCTTCGCTCCCCGACACCTGCTCTGGACCCCTACGCGTGAAGCCTCAACGCCCAGTCAGCGGAGACAGTTCCGCTCCCTCCGGGCCACTGTCCACCTCACACTGGCTCCTGGAAGACACGCTGCCACACTCTCGCCCAGACACCCGCTCCTTCCCCAGCTCTGAACCCTCCCCAGAGTAAGTCATCCCCTGAAGCCTTTCCTGGTGACCCCAGCGGGACATGTGTTCTCCACCTTCCCAACTTCGTAATGTGAAACCTTGCAGCTGCCCTAGGGCAGGTCTGCCATGATTCTACAGCTACTACATGGAGCCACAGGGGTCCCCGCGAGTTCTAACCTAGTCCTATGGTTCAGACTAACACCCCCCGGCTCACCCCTCAGTGCCTGGCAGTCTCCACAAGCACTGGGGGTGAGTGTTCTTTCTCTGTGACCCCCTGAGAAGCCCAGGACTTGGCGGGGAGGTGTCTAAACAAAGGCTCTAAATCTGTGGCGGGTGACATCAGTCCTCCGAGCGCCTGGGGACTGTCTGCCTGAGCGCTGGGAAGGGTCAGCCTCAGAACCTGGAGCATCAGCACTTCTGGGAACGCAAAATATTTTGGTTCAAGGAGCTGTTTTCAGTCACCTGTTTGTGAGGGACACATTCTTGGATTTCGAGACTGGCTGGGACAGTAAGAAAGCTTTTCTGGTTGGCTGATATAAAAAAATCCAAACGCTTCCGCACCGGCACCTCCCTGCCAACACCTGTAAACACCAACCGCCACAGCCCAGCCCTCAGTGCCAGCTGTGCCTCCGCCAGCGCGGGGCTGGGGCGCTGGAGATCCAGCCTCTTGCAAACTCTGAAAACCTCGCAAAGCAGTATCACCGAGAACAGACAGGACAGCTGTGGAGCCACAAGGTCGGGGCGCGATGAATCTGCGCTGGCCAGGAAAGGGGTCCTGCCTGCCTGCCTGCTGGGCCTGGGGCATCACCTGGGCCGGCCACGCCCACGGTCCGTCTTTATGACTTTCACAAAGAGCAACTCCCCAGGCACAAGCCGGCCCCGACATCTCAGGCTGCACGGCCCACCAGCTGCCTACCCTGCCCTCCCTGAGTCCTACAGAGTGCAGCCCCCAGGGGGAAGGACCAGGGCCTTGACCCATGCTAGGACAAGCGTGGCCCCAGAGGGCTTGGGGAGCAGATGCTCACACATCCCCTCGCCCACCGGGGCCTGGAGCAATGAACGAGGAAAGTGCACCTTCCCTGTGTCCAGACCTTCTTCGCCAGGAGCTGGGGGGCTGCTGCGATGCTGATGGGGCAGGACTCAATGCTTCCTTCCCTTTGAGGGGGGTCCTGAGCCCCTGCCCCCCACCCCCAGTCCCAGGCAGCAGCCTTCCCTCCAACTTCCAGGGCTCACAATTGGGTTACAGACGCCTCCTGGCGCAGCGACTGAGCGGCCTGATTCCAACAATTTATTCGAATCCTCCTTCATTAAGATTCAAATGGAATAAGTAAGGTAGAAATTGAACAGGCCCAGAAATTGTGGCTCGCTGCGCCTGCGTCAGCAAACATTTGTTCCCCAAGCCTGTTTGTGCGCGCCCTCTCTCCGCTCCTCTCTGTCTTTCTCGCCCTCTCTTCTCCTCTCTCTCTCTCATCCCTCCCCCCTCTCGCTGTTCTTCCATCCTTCCTGCTTGCTGTTTTAATGCATAATTAAGAAGGTCAGGATTAATGACGCGGTGTGGAGTAAAGTTCAAGGAATCCCCAGGCACTGTTTATTCTATTAGATCTCAGGCATGAATGTCAACTTGGCAGCAGCAGCCGGGGGGGCGGCGTCTCCAGGAATGACCCACCCAGGGAGACTCACCTGCACCGTCAAGTCATCCCTGAGCTCCTTCCCGGCGAAAATCACTCGCAACTGGTCAGCTGGAACCCCCTGTCGCTTAGCAACCGCCTCCTTGAGCTGGAAGATGCTCGTGTCACAATCGACCTCCACTGGGAAGCCATGGCTGGAGTTAAACCTGACGAACACTGGCCACGAGAATGGAGAGGAAGGAAAAAGAGCATCACTCAGAGCCGTGGACGGACGGTCGAGCCACCTCCCTGCGCCCGCCCACCCCGCCCGCCCCGCGTGAACGGGGCACGTTCTCCTTCACATAACAAAGCATCAGGCCACGGAAGAAGCACTTAGAGAAAGACGGGGTTGCCTTGTGGGGCTCCCCTTTCCGTATTAGACTGCGACCCGCAGGCAATCTCACGTGCTCACTTCACCCTCTCCCAGGAAATGGCTCGGGCGGACACTTGCAGGACTGGACTCTACAGCGGCCGCCAGATCAGCAAGCGCCGCTGCGGGATGGCTTGCCCGAAGGCACCCGCTCCCCACTGGCCCCTCACTCACACCGAGGGCACTGGTCAGCCCCGGGGTGTGCACTGGGAAACACTTCGAGCCACTTAGGGACCAGAGTGAAGACCCTCGGCCTGTGTCAAGAGCCTAGGGCTCGGGGTCCGGGCCAGAAGGCTCCATGCAGACGCTCTTTCACCTTTTCCTTGAAACCAGCAATGCTGTTTCTCATCTTAGAACCACTCTTCCCCTCAAGGCCCAGCACTGACAGTCCGCGCACCCTCACACTCTCCCTCTCACATCACCTCGGGGGTCCACTCCTGCCTTCCCTCCCCTCCATCAGGGCTCCACGCGTGCTCGCGTGAGGCTTCTCTCCATCCCTGCCATGGGCTCCCAGCTGGCGTTGGGACGGGCGCGCCTCCCTCCCACGTCCATGCCGTTCAGTAGAGTCGGCCTCATGCACACGGATCTCTGACCCCGGCACTGCACCCCATCCTGTCACGTCTCACACTGTTGGCTGGGAGAAAAACCCAAGCCCCTATCGTGTGGCACGAACTTGTGTTCCAGCATGTTCTCCCTTCATCCCAGAAGACACAGGGCAGAAGACTGTGTGCCTTCTCCATGCCTCTCCCTCTTCCCCGCTGTCCACTCAATGCCTGTCCCTTCTGTGACCCATCTCACACGTGACCTCCTCTAGGGGGACACTCACTGCACCCTGTTAGACCGGGGCCTCCTCCACAGCGTTTACCATCCACCTCCCGGCCCCTGGGCATCTCTCCTGGGAGCAGAGTGGCCCAGAGGGAACAAGTGGGGTGGGAGGACCAAGTACCGGTCCCGTGGGTCCCTCACCACCCCCCGGGACAAGCTGATTGAGCTCTTGACTCCCAGTTTCCAATCTTCCAAATATAAATAAACCAATGAGGATGTTACATGAGATAGTAATGGTTCTAGCGTTTACAACTATCCCTTGATAACCTTCTAAAATAATGTCTATCTGCAAATGTTTTAGATTTCTTTTTGGCATGGATTTCACCTCCTTTAAAAGATTATAAAATCCTCAAGGACAGGCACTGTAGTTTATTTACTGCTGTATCTCCTCTCAATGTAGCATTACTACTTGTTGGGACTCGATACAAATGTGAGATGGCCCACCTAATAACTATAAGTTAATAATAATTACAATGCCTATAATAGTTGAGGCTGCCCTATGCAGCAGCAGCATATCCTGCACATGCTATTTCTAAGCTTCCCCAGCGATCTGGTAAAGTCAGTATTATTATCCTTACTTAACAGTAAATGAAGGCCTAGAGAATTATAATCACTCTTCTAAGGACATCAGCTACTTCATAATGGAATCAGTATTCAAAGTCAATTCCATTTAATTCTAAGCCCCATTCCATTTCTACGGTGACAGACTGCTTAATATATCCTCAGAAGGAAAGTTCATGTTCCTTTTCCTTGTGATTACAAAGGGCAAATAACAACAGTTAAAAGACATCATAACATGATTCAGATATTCCCTACACAGGTGAGCTGCAGAAAATGGGATTAAGAAAGAAGCTCTTGTGCAGAGCTGAGAGCAAACAACAATGAACAATGGTTATAAGATGACATAAAAATGACACCAAAATGGGAACAGGTGGCAGAGATGATACCGCAGGAGCAAGAGCCTGACACATTTTACCAGCATGGAAAGCAGTTAGAAAAAAAATAAGGACTGGAATTGACAAATGTGTTCCAAATAAAGAAAATTCATGAAAAACAAACAATTACAGAAGGAAAGGAGCTTTAATATACTCTTAAGTAGATGTGACACGGTGGAAAGTGGAGGGGGAGAAGTAAAAAGGCACCAGAAGCCTTCAGGGCTTATCCACAACATCCTCAGAACAGAAAGCATAAGACAACCAATTCATCAGATGAGATAGGAGATGAGCAAGGGGCTACGGGGGACGAAGGGCATGGACCCAGCTCTAAACTTGGTTTTCCAGGAGTGTGAATCGATTTTAAAAAGAAAGCAGAACACCATGGGGGACATGAGAGCTGGGAGCTTCACAAAAGCTAAAAAAGTCAAGGGGAACAAATTCCAGGGGGTCCTAAGTTGATGCTGTTTCTCCAAGGGTTCAAATCACGGAACACTAACTTAAGGACAAGAATTACAAAGATAACCAAAAGCAAGAAAAACATTTTAGATAACTCTGTACCACTGTTCAAATTCGTTGTATCCACAAGTTGTTTTTCTCCTACAAATAGAAAAATTAAAGCTTTTGAACTTAGTTTCAACTTAATAAACACTGCGGAAATGAGTATTTTTGAATAGCAGGACAAGTAAATAGTATGAATTTCCAATGCATAGATTGATTGAACATATACCAATAGCAGGTTATCTGGCCAACTAAAATATTTACTTGCATGAGTGACTGGGGACATCATCAGATGTCACTACAGAAAAGATAACCAGTGTTTCACAGCAGTAGGATAATGGACAGTGAGCTTTTTCAGACACAGGCGAGACAAGCAATCTGCCTGCCTTGACTAGTCCTTGAGTCCAGCCATGGTCCCCAACAGAGAGGAGAGGAGAAAAGCATTCCCACATTCTTTAAACATCATAGAAAGCAAAATGTCTTTCAAACCAAGAAGAAAAGAGCCACTTGAATCCTGGTCGTGCCACCTGCATAATTTTATGCCTTAGGACATGTTCTCCGCTGGTCTTGACCCCTAGCTTCCTTTGCTATAAGTGAGGATAAAGTATGCAACCTCAAATGCTTGTTAGAAAAGATCTGCTGAGCCGATGGAAGCTTTGGGGAATGTCAAGTCGTCCATGCAGAGCCTGCCCTCTTAGGAGAGAACAAGCATGTGCTCCAAAGTTAGTTCCCCAGCATTCTCACCCAGAGGAGGGAGAGCTGATTAAAGCAGTATCCATATTTCATGTTGCAGTTAGACAGATTTGATGAGGAGGGTAATTATTAAATAAATTAGCTGACATTTCCATTTCTACAGCTCTTCCTAGTGGATAGAAACTTTCTGGGAACAAAGAGACCTGGTAAAGAATTTAGTTGGTCTCTTTTTACTGAGATATAATTACCTATTAAAAGTTTGGGGATGCATTGCTTTGATGATACTGTTAGAGCACCCAGAAATAAACATCTTATCAATAAGCTTTGTCAATAGTGTGCATTACAGTCTTATCAATAAACACCATCATCACTAATAACCAAAAATGATAGTGCCAAGCATCCACCCTCAATGTTCATGTTATTTCTAATCAGGGCTCAGATGATCGCGAGGACAAGGAGGAGGTAGGCAAGGCGTCATGGGTGCTTCTATTTCTTTCAAGCCTGTTTTATTCACCTGGTCTGACCTGGGAGACATTGTAGAGTCAGATTCAGAGCAACCATTCTTCTCTTGCTGCACTGCCTGCCCCCATGAGAATTAGTGCTGTGACTTGCCCTTTCCCCCAACTCCAGGAGTGGACCTCATACATCAGCACAATTCTTTTAAAATAGAAGTTTATTTAAAAAAAAAAAAGATCTGGACTGATTTCAGAACTGCTGTCCAAAGAACACATTTTTCAGTTCATATCCAACCAAATAATTGCCTTATGAAACAAAAGAAACAACTGTCATCAGAGAAAAATGACAGGATCCAGACTTTCCAAAAATTACATTCATAATGTCTGGAACACAAGTACAAAATTACCCAACACTTGAAAGAACAAGGAAAATAGAGGACATTTTCAGGAGAAAGGAAAATCAACTGACACAAACACTAAGATAACTTTAATTTTGGAACTATAGACAAAATTTTAAAGTAGCTATCATTACTATCCTCGATGAAGAAAAATAACCCCCTTAAGTACATGGAAAAAAAGGACAGACAAGCAGAGCAACAGACATTATGAAGAGGAATCACATGGAAATTCTAGAACTAAAACTACAATATCTGAAGTAAAAATTTGCATAGATTTAATAACAAATTGGAGATAAGAGGAAATGTTAGTAAATAAAGAATTTTAGAAAAAGTGAACAGACTTCAGGGGGTTGGCAGAAAATATCAAGTTGCTTAATATATGTGTAATTGGAGCTACAAAAAGAATGGGGAAGAAGAATATAATGCCCTGAACTTTAAAATATGTGATGAAATAGACAGAAGTGCATATTCAAGATGTTCAACAACACCAAACAGGATAAACATGAATAGAGCCATATAAAGTCACATCACAGTCAAAAATGGAG